TACATGGGAGTCCAGCGACATAGCCATTATACTAACTGCTGGTCCCTGTATCTATTCTTTTTTATTCTGTCTGCATCCCTAGGGTATAAGCTTCATGAGAGCAGTGACTTTCCTAGTTCACTGCTGTCTCTTCAGGGACCAAACCCAGGGCTGAATACATGGTAGATGCTCATAAATATGTCATGTAGTCATGCATGCTTGTGTGAATGAGTGCATGTTTCATGGCCTAGAACCTAGGGGGGAAAGGTAGATAGGTCTCTTTCTTTGGTTCTTTTTTTAAAAAAATAATTATTTCATTTATTTTATTTATTTTTTAAATTTTAACTTGACCCGAGAGAGAGAGAAAGTGAGAAAGCAAGCCATCAGGTCTAGGACTTGAACTGCAGTCAGCCATGTGGGAGTCCAGAGCCCTTAACCATCACGCCATCTGTCGACCCCGTTGGTTCTTAATGAGCAAATTTATAGGAGAATGTAGCGACTGTGGCTCCCACATCTGAGATCAAGCACACCCATGAAACGGCTTTACATGGCGTATGCTCTGCTTTGCTTCATGGCAGGCACCAGTCTGCAGTGGAGACCAAATTCTCCTCTGCATCCCCTAGATCGGGGGTGTTCTCAATGGCTATTACTATTTTAGGCAGGCACATCATGTCAACAGACCACATCCTTTTCCCATTTTGCTGCAGTGGTTGTATTTATGTTCAGGGGAATGTAGAACACGGTCCTTTGAGGAGACGAGGGAACAAAAGATATGTAAGGAGGCCCATTCACTTTCTCAAAGGCTGCTAGTAAATCCTTGGGATCATGGGCAGAGTTTAAAAGCTAAAGGTTTGCCATCATCATTATTAATATTATCATTTTCATTAAGGTTTATGGAGCTCTCACTATATTCCAGGTGCTATTCAATGCTTTACATATGTTAACTCATTTAATATACACAACGCTATACACATAACACACCCCCAACCCCAGCCCTAATTCTTCCCCTTGCTACCAGCCCGAGTACAGTTAACACAGAGACAGGCAGAGCCACTGGGATCCAGGGAAACAGGCCTTAGTGACTTCTACATCCAGACTGTCAGATGCATTTGCCACTAAGATGCTGAACTGGCTCCACTCCACTGCCTACTCTTTCTCTTCAGGTCAGTTTTGGGGCATAGAAAGAGAAAATCTCCAAGGAAAGGAGGAACATCATGAGAAATCCTGGGGTGATGGACTCTTTTGAGCTGGTGTGTGTTGGTCAATGGTTTGGGTCAGGAGCAAGATGCAACCAGCTTTGCCTGTGGAAGGATAAACCAGGAGGGGAACTGCTGGATCCCTTGGCCTGCCATGGTTTTGGGACAAGTGGTACCTGTCCCCATACTCATGGGAATTTGGAGGTCTTCATAAAATCAAGGCAGCAGAGAAAAGCAGGTACCCCTTCCACTCCAGGGCTGATAACCTACAATCTAAGGGTGCTTATCACACTGTTTGTTCTTGGGGTGCAGAGAGCAAGCTCTGATGAGAAGGTATCTTGTGAGGATGGACGAGCTGTGTATTTACCTGTGAACTCACTCCAGGACTCATCCATCCTCCCCAGCTCACTGGGGCTGACAGGGACTGAGGCCTGACCCATTTACATTGATTGACAGAGTAGCCAATATTCCCAGGCTCACAGGCCAGGATAACAAGAGATATGAAGACTATAACTATTTCATAGCAGAAATATGCGGGACTATTTGGTAGAGATCCAATCAAAAGCAGAACTATTAGACAGGAAACACTAAGAACTTAAAATGATTGATACACGAAACATATAAGGAAAGATATCAATGAGGACACCACCAAAGAAAACACATAAAATCCCCAGAAACAGTAGGTATGAAAAATGTTATGGTTGAAATAAAAGCTATAATATCTGAGATTAAAGGCAGACTGAATAAAACTTTAAAACAAATTAGAGAATGAGAGATTAGATTCAGGAAATCTCTTGGAAGAAGGAAAGGATGAAGAAGTAGAAAATGTAAGAGAAAACTAAGAGATACTGAAGATATAAATAGAACCACTAATATTTGAATAACAGGAGATACAAAAAGGAAAAAAATAGTGGGAATGGAGGAAATACATTTTTTTTTTTGAGAGGTTTCTGCTATAGGGCACATGTGCTCGCCAGAAAGACATAGAGAGACAGACAGAAAGTGAGCCATCACCCTCAAAGGGGGATGGCCATGCCACAATCCCTTCTCCTCCATTCTTCTTTTGGGGTCTTGGGCACGCATGCACATACGCCCGGCATGAGTTTAAGCCACTGGGTCTGGGACTCAAATTGTGGTCGACTACATGGGAGTCCAGTGACATAGTCATTAAGCCATCTGCTGGTCCCAAAAATGGAGAGCATTTTTACATAATTCACAAATTAAGATGGAACAGTCTAGACTTAAAGGGTGTATAGAATGTCGAAGAGCAGAGATAGGAAAACTCTACAGCTAGGATTCCAAAGACAGAAGAAATTCCCAAAGCTTACTGAATAAAAGAGCAGATGCCATATAAAAGAGTAAGAAGTAGATTGACATTAAGTTTTTTTCAAAAGCAACACTCTATGTAAAAAGATAATAGAGGGCCAAGCTTGTGGCATGGTGGTCAAGGTGGTTGAATCCTACTGGGTCAACTGTGTGGTTTGACTCCTTGGCCTGGTGGCCTGAAAAATATACTGGGGGTGGGGCCAGCAGATGGTGTAATGGTTATGTCGCTGGACTCCCACGTAGTCAACCACTGTTCGAGTCCCAGGCCCAGCAGCTTTGAACTCATGCCGGATGTATATGTGTATGTGTGCCCAAAATCCCAAGAGGAAAATGGGAAAGTACTTGTGGCATGGCCATCTCCCTGAGGGGTGATTTCTTGCTTTCTGTCTTTCTGTCTCTCTGGCGTGCCCATGTGCCATATAGCAAAAAAATCTCTCTCCAAAAAACAAAAACAAAAAAGGTACCGGATGCATGTGTATGCTTGCTCCAAATCCTGAAAAGATGGAGAAATGGAGGAAAGGGGATGCTAGTGTGACTATCTCCCATAGGGAGTGCTTTCTCACTTTCTCCCATTCTTTGTCTTTCTCCCACAAGCAAATTAAAATGAAAAAGGCAGTAGAATAGCATTTTGATTACCTATTGCTGCATAAAAAACTTCTTCCAAACTTAGTGACTTAAAATAACAAATATTTCATCATAGCTCATGGCTTTTTGAGTCAGGAGTTAGATTGAGCTCCGCTGAGTGCTGCTTCTACATGGAGTTGAGGGAGGGTGTTGTTGGTCCTCCTCTGGTGGGCAGACTGGTCAGGAGGGTTCAGGATGGTTCTCTCAATCCCTGGTTCCTTAGTGGGGAGCCTGGAAGGCTGAGCACACCTGGCTTTTACCTGAGGGCTGGTGTCTCCCAGAGAGAGTGCTCCAAGAAGCTCAGGTTGGAACTACAATGCTCATGACCTGGCCTTGAGAGTCCTAAGGCATCACTTCCTCCACATTCTTTTGGTTAAGCAGGCACCAAGTCCAGCCTATATTCATGGAAAGAGGATTTATACACCCCCCCCCCTTTCTTTTTCTTTTTAAGACAAGGTCTCATGCCATGATCCTCCTGCCTCAGGCTCTTGCGTAGCTGAGACTCCAGGTGTGCACCACTGCACCTGGACTTTACGTTGGACTAGAAATCAAACCTAGGCCTACCATGTGGTCTTACTTACAGACCACAGCATCTTAGCCGTACATGCCTTCTTGGCTGGGCTGTAAATACCACTGTTTTTTTTTTTTTTCCTAGAGATATTTTTGCTGTAGGGCACATGCACTCACTGGAGAGACAGAGAGACGGAGAGTAAAAAATCACCCCCCAGAGGGCCATGCCACAGTCCCTTCTCCTCCATTCTCCTGTCAGGATTTTAGGCATGTACACACATGTGCCCGGTGCCACTGGGTCTAGGAGTTGAACTGTGGTTGGCCATGTGGGAGTCCAGTGACATAACCATTATGTCATCTGCTGGTTCCCCACCTCTTAATGGGAGAAGTAGCAGAGAATTTGTGGCAATCTACCATAAATAGTGTTTTTTAAGCATTAAAGAAAAGGAACTCATAACCTAGAATATTACAATGGATCACACTCTCATGCAGATTTGAGAACATGCAAAAGTATTCTGAGCAATATAGGTTTTTAGACACTTTGCCACAGACATTCTTACACTGGAAATAGTTTTGGAGAAAATACTTAAACAAGAATGGAGAAAAATCCAGAAGATGTCATGAGAGATAAATGTATTAGAGATGGCTAGACTCCTTAGTAAAGTTTGATGTCTGAAAGTCAATTAGCTGGGCCAGCAGGTGGCATGGTGTTTAAAGCCCTGGATCCCACATGGCTGACTCCATGGTTTGAGTCCCACGCCTGCTGGCCTGAAAAACACTCTGGGCACATGTGTGTGCTCAAAATCCCAAGAGGAGAATGGAAGGGTAAGGATTGAGTTGTAGCACTTGGGTGGGGGGTGATTTCTCAGTTTCTCTCTCTCTCTCTCTGTCTCTATCTATCTCCAGCATGTTTATGTGCCCTATGTCAAAAATCTAAAAACAAACACATCAGTTGGCTAAGACCCAAAGAAAAGAGAGTATTTAGATTATCATCAGGAAGCAAATCTTGCTGAAGTCATCATGATGAAGGCTGAATGGAAGGAGACCAGGGCACTTGCCATTGTGGTAAATGCTTCTCTCCCACGGGGTACGAGGAGATATAATATCAATGTTCATAAAAAGAAGCATTGAAGGAGGGGAAAAATGGAGGAAGCAAGTGACTTGCCCAGGGTCACATTGCCATTATGTGGTAGAGCCAAGTAACTCAACCCAGACACTCACTGATATGATAGCAGAACTCTCGTGGGAGCCAGGTGACAGTGACAAACGTCTCTGCTGTGAACTCAGCAGCAGAGTAATCTCAAGCTGGGCCAGCGCCCGGTCAGTTGTTCTTTTCTCCATTTTTGGTACTCTCCTTTGTTCCAGGCTGTACGTGGACGCAGGGAGGGGCCGCCCCTGTGGTGGAGCCCGGAGCTGTGAGCCACCTGGTCACATGGCAGGACGGCCGGTGTAGCAGCAGTTTCCTGGCTTCTCTGCCCCAGCCAGAGTCCCATCTCAGTGTGGCCACGGGGTTTGGCTGTGCCACCATCTTCTGGCTTTCGAAGAATAGGTATGGACAACTGTCTTTGGAATTGACTGCTGGGTTTCCTGGGGAATGGGAGTGAGCGGGGGGAAGCCCCTCTGGCTGGTCAGCCTCACTCTACCTGCAGGTGTGTGCTTTAGTGAGCACAGGGTGCGATCACTAGACCTAGGTTGGCCCAGACCTGCTTCATCTTACAGAGGTCTCTCTCTGGGTTGTCCTTTCTAACCCAGAAGGGGATAGTAGGTGACAAAGAGGGCAAAGGACGCCTCTGGTCCCATGATGAGTTCACGGCGGGGTCAGGGCTGTGGGATGGCTGAGGGCCAATGCTTCTGTAAGTGTGGTGCTTTGGCCCTGAGTCCCCTCTTCTAGGGCTGACAGGCTGGCTTTGCTTGGATTAGCTGGAGGTTTTTTACCCAGGGGGCCTAGATGTACTTGTGGGGTCATGGGGTCATGGCTGCCACCCAGCTATGCCATGTCTAGTCCCCCTTGCCCATAGGTAGGTGAAGCCTAGGCTTTTCAGATCATCTGAGACCATATTGAATTGTTTTTGGTATTAAAAACAGCCCTGAGTTCCTGAAGTCCTACAGTGCAGCTGGCACCATTCAGGACTACGTGGTCACCATGCTGTGTGGCTTGCCAAGACCCCTCATGTCTGACCAGAACGCTGCGAGCTGGGGCTATTTCAACACCCGGAGCCAAAGCTGGAACTTGGACATGTGAGTATGACCCTGAAGGCTGGCTCCAGGCTGAGGGGCACCTGGGAAGCCAGAGCTCTGGTGGGGCCTTTCCCCTTTGGGAATATTGAGGGATTCCTAGAGGTGGGAGTCAGGATCCAACCCCCCAGTCTATTCTGGGCACTAGGCATGGGTGGGCTGGGTGTAAGTGAAGCCCCAGGGTGCGGTGCCCACCTCCAGAACCATGCTATCTGGCCCCTCTGCCACAGCTCCCCAGACTGAGGGTGGGCTTCTCTGTGACCCTGGACTTAGTCTGTAGATTTGAGAGCATCACTTTCATTCTTCAATGCATTTTTTTTTTTTGGAGAGGTTTTCACTATAGGGCGCGTGCGCACGCCAGACAGACAGAGAGAGACATAGAGACAGAAAGCGAGAAATCACCCCCCAGTGGCGATGGTCACGCCGCAATCCCTTCTCCTCCATTCTCCTCTCGGTATCCTGGGCATGCACGCACACACGCCCGGTGTGAGTTCTAAGCCACCGGGTCCGGGACGTGAACTGCGGTCGACTACATGGTAGTCCAGCGACACAGCCATTAAGCCTACTGCTGGTTCCCACTCTTCAATGCATTTTAAAATAAGGTTAAGAACTGGAGGTAGTAGGCTTGAGGGATGCCTTTTCAGTTCTTTTTAAACCACCATTTGCCTTTTCAGGTACAGAAGCCCAGTGCCCTCTAAGTTCATTGTTTCAGGGCCCACATTCTGAGCTCTGAACTAATCCAGAAAGCACCTAGTAGTTCAGGTAAAGGACCTTCTGGCATGCTTGGTTGAGTTGACAGCCTGTATTCACTAACCCTCAGTGACGAATGCATTTGGTGTTCAGGAGCCCCACGGGTTGGACTTTGGTTTGGACTTTGATTTGGACTGTGCTAACCACTCACTGCACAGACTCGGCCTCCCTCCCAGATTGTTTGTGTTCTCTTCAAACTCAGGAGGCCCCAGGGCCGAGGTCTGGCTCTTATCTAATCTTCCCTGATTGCTACTGCTTAAACGGGTATTATCTTCCCCTGAAGTTAGATCCCAAGCTTTTGAAAGTTATTGTTCTCTATTTACAAACTCCTAGCTGGAGATTTTGAAAGAGCCAGAGGTTGTCTGGGACAACACTGGAGTCTACCCCCTCCTTCTCCCTCCTTCTCTCTCCTTCTCCGATGTGTGTCCTATAGTTCTTACCCCGGCCGAGTTTCCTGGAAACAGCAAAACCCAGAAAATCAAGCTCCCAGTAAAGATGGGTGCCCACTGTTTTACAGACTGAGGGCCTCAGGCTTTCCCGTCCACCTGCTCCCAGACATTGCTGAGCCTGGCAGCGTGGCAGGAAGAACTTCCCATGCGTGGTTTGAAATCCCGAAGGGCACACAGGTGGGCGTGGCCCTGGGGGACTTACAGGCCTCTGTCTACTCCTGCATGGCGCAAAGGACAGATGCAGGTAAGTTTCCCTTTTCTTCTCTCCTCACATCTACTCTGCCTCCAAACACTAGTTCTGCGTGAGGGTCTGAGGGGTCCATGGAACTTGGCAGCCTCAATAGCTTCCTGGGGATCATTATTCTGTAAAGATCCCTGCAGGTGGAACCTCCTGCTCGCAGAGTTTAGAAGCCAGCAGGGCAAGTTCTGTCCCTAAGCAATGACCCTGTCTGGCCAGGGGGAGGGAAAGGACTTTCTAGCTCACTGGTTTTAGTGTTACTCCTTGGCCAAGAAAGTTGACTAGTAGTTTAGGGATTTTGTTCTGTGTGTTTGTCAATTGAAGTAGTGTCAGATCTGATCGAAAGCGTAGCATTCTCTTCTGTGTTCAGGGGAAGAGTCACAGTGAGGTGGAGGCAGCAGTCTGGAACAGAGAGCCCAATAGTAAATAGATTCCCCTTTGAGGGCCATGGTTTCTGCCTTAACTGCTCAACTCTGCCCTTGGGGTTTGAGCAGTCACAGCCAATATATATACATGCAAATGAACGGGCATAGCTGGCTTCCAATAAAACGTTATTCATGGACATTGAAATGTGAATTGTGGGGCCAGAAGTTGTCGTAATGGCTATGTCACTGGACTCCCATGGTTCGACCATGGTTCGAGTCCCAGACCTGGTATCTTAAACTCACACTGAGCATGTGTGCATGCATGCCCAAGATCCCAAGAGGAGAATGGAGGAGAAGGGATTACAGCGTGACCATCCCCCCGGGGGATGATTTGTTGCTTTTTGTTTCTGTCTTTCTGGCAAGCACATGTGCCTATAGCAAAACCTCTCCAAAAAAAAAAAAAAAAGAGATGTGAATGGTCGGCAGATGGCATGGTAGTTAAGGGGGCTAGACTCCCACAAAACCAACCGCGGTTCAAGTCTCAGACCTGATGGCTTGCTTTCTCACTTTCTTTCACTCTCTCACTCTTGTTCTGTCCCTCTCTGGTCAAATTAAAAATAAGTAAATAGGGACCAGCAGGTGGCGTGGTGGTTAAGGTGCTGGACACCCCCACATGGCCAACCACGGTTCAAGTCCTGGACCTGGTGGTTTGTTTTCTCACTTTCTCTCTTACTCTCTGGTCAAATTAAAATAAATGAATGAATACATTTAAAATAAAAAAGTAAATAAATAAAGTTAAATAAAATAATTCCTTTAAGAAAAGGAAATGTAAATTGCATATCATTCTTATATCTCATGAAGTTGCCTCCTTTTTTTATTTCTGGGAGAGAGAGAGAAAGAGGGAGAGAAAGTGAGAAATCATCCCCTGTGTGTGTGTGTCGAGCAGGGGGGCTGGCCATGCCACAATCTCTTCTCCTTCATTCTCCTCTTGGGATGTCAAGTGTGCACATGTGTCTAATGTGATTTTCAAGCCACCATGTTTGGGATTTGAACCTTAGTCTGTGTGGGAATCCAGTGCTTTAACTGCCATGCCACTTGCTGGCTCCAAAATAGTCTTCTTTTGATTCATTCTCAACCATTTGAAAAAGTGAGAATGTGGTAGTGGGATTGTAAAATGGTGCAGCCCCTTTGGAAAACAGTCTGGCAGCCCCTTGTGTATTAGCCATGGAGTCACTAGAGGACCCAGCAATTCTACTCCTAGGTATATCCTGAAAACATGTTCACACAAAAATGTGCATGCCAGTGTTCATAGCAGCACCATTTGCTATAGCCAAAAAGTAGGAAGAAACAAAAGATTTATTCATTTATTTCATTGTATTTGTTTTTTTTAAATTTTTTGACCAGAGAGAGAGAGAGCAAGGGAAAGTGACAAAACATACCACCAGGTCTGGGACTCGAACTGTGGTCAGTCATGTGAGAGTCCTGTGCCTTAACCACCACACCACCTGCTAGACCTGGAGCAGGAAACTTTGAAATCCCTTGTCTAGGTGGCGTCTGGGCCTCCCCACGTGAGCAGGGTGTGAAGGATGCTGTGACTATGGTACCTGCAGTGGCATGTGTGTTTCATTTGCTCCTCACGGCATTCTGGCAGAGTGAGTCCCTTTGGGAAAATGATCAAGGGACAAGCGAATTTCTTACCCAGGATTTTCTTTTGGTCATGACATCTTTTTTCCGCTTCCTTCAGTTAGACATTTTACAACTCAATGGCTGGATCTGTGGCACAGTAGCTAAGAACTTTGTGTTGAGAGCTTGATCCCACATGGCCAACTGCGGTTCAAATCCCAGTCCTGGTGACTTGAGAAACATACCAAGTGTGTGCACAAGCATGTCAATGTCCTGATGAGATGGAGAAATGGAGGCAAAAGAATTATAGCATGACCATACCCTGTTGGGAGGTGTTTTCTCTCTCCCTGTCTCTCTTTGGCAAGTGCACATGCTCTTTGCCAATAAAAAACAAAACAAAACAAAAACTCAACCTTGAGTTTAAAAAGTTTGTCTGGTACCACCCTCTATGTAGTAGATTTTCCCTATTTCTTTACAGTCTTTAAAGAGAAAATGTCAGAGGGATAGCCCTGTGGCCTAGGAGTTAAGGGAGCCAGACCCCACATGACCAACTATGGTTCAAACCCCAGCCTGGTGACTTAAAAAAAAATCCCAGGAGTGTGTGCCTGTGTGCCCCAAATCCCAATAGGATGGATCGTACATACCGTGTACAGCATGATGCTTTGAAGTATACATACTTCACGGGGTAGTTATAATCTAGCTCATTAAAAATGCGTTAGCTCGGGACCAGTGGTTGGCATAATGCTTTGTTGCTGGACTCCTATGTAGTTGATTGCAGTTCGAGTCCCAGACCCGGCGGCTTAAACTCATGCTGGGTGCGTGTTTGTGCATTCTCAAGATCCTGAGAGGAAAATGGAGGAGAAGGGATTGTAGCATGGCCATCCCCACTGGGGGGTGATTTCTGTTTTCTGTCTCTCTCTGTCTCTCTGGTGAGTGTACACACTCTATAACAAAAACCTCTCAAAAAATATGTTGGCTCACAGGTATTTTTGTGGTGAGAACACTTAATATCCACTCTCATAACATTTTGAAGAGTATAGGGGGACTTTACAAAGTCTGTGGAAAAAATGAAATTTAAGTATGAGTTCTTTTTGGTGCAAAGAATTTTGAAACCTCACATAAGTTTTTTTTTTTTTTTGAGAGGTTTTTGCTATAGGGCACGTGCACGTGCCAGAAAGACAGAGACAGAGAGATAGAAAGTGAGAAATCAACCCCCAGGGGGGATGGCCACGCCTCAATTCCTTCTTCTCCATTCTTCTCTCAGGATCTTGGACACAGACGTACATGCACCCGGCGTGAGTTTAAGCCACTGGGTATGGGACTCGAACTGCTGTTGGCTACATGGGAATTCAGTGACATAGCCATTACACTAATTGCTGGTCCCCATAGGTTTTTTCATAGTTCGTATTTTCCATGAATTTTTGACAACCCCAATACAATATGTTGTCATTAGCTATAGTCACTATGTTGTACCACAGAACTCCTGAACTCCTCGCTCCCATCTACCTGTACCTAAGTATGGTTTGAACCACACATCCCCAACTCCTGTACCCTGGGTCACCCAGCCATGTTGTTAAGACCACCACACTCTCCACTGCCCTCTGTGACTTGTGACCTCCAGGTTAGCCTGACCCGCCTAACTCAGCTCTGCTTTCTTTGGGCCCCAGTTCTCAACATCAGCACCTCGGTTCAGCTGGCAGCCTCCATGCCTGCAGGGTTCCAGCCGGCGCAGATTCCAGACCCCACGGCTCCAGTCGCCTACTTCCCATACTTTGGCAGGACCTACTTGGGAGTGGCAGCGTCACTCAACGGGGGCAACGTGCTGGCCACCTTCGTCCACATGCTGGTTCAGTGGATGGCAGATCTAGGTGAGGTGCAGCCCCGCTGGGGTGCGTTCTTGTCCTTTCCCTGTGGCGGTCAGTATCTTGAAGCTCAGTGTGCAGTTTCAGCTTCTAGGTTCAGATCTAGACCTCGCCAGGTTCCAGCATGTTCCTTCCTTCCTTAGGGGTCTGAGCGTATAGCCTTGTTTGCTCTCATCCTCTGAGCTGCCATCACTGACTCCTGTGTGTGTGTGTGTGTGTGTGTGTATGTGTGTGCATGTGTGTGTGTGTGTGTTGCGTGGTGGGGTGAGGGGGGGCTGTGTGGAGAGATGCCTTTTCCCCTGAACTTGACTGTGACGTATCCAATAGCTTCCCCAGCTGTCCCTTCCTTTCTAGCATACTTTTTCTGTAAGCAAACCCTCCTGAATTCTTTGTATTTAAGGCTTTCCTTCTGGTAAGTACAGACAGCTGAAAATAGAATGATCAGACATGAACGTGTAGGGCTAGGCTCGTGGCACAGTGGTTTAAGTGCTGTGCGTGGATAGCCAGATCCCACATGGCTGAGCACAATTCTTGGCCTTGGTGGCTTGAAAAACACACTGGGGCACGTACATACATGCCCTCCATCTCGATGAGCTGGAGAAATGGAGGAGAGGGGATTGTGGTGTGACCATTCCCCACCACAGGGGGTAGGGGTGCTTTCTCTTCCTCTATTCTGCTGTCCCTGTGTCCAGTGCATGTGAACTCTGGCACTTAAAAAACAAGACCGCATGTAAAACTCCTGGTATTTTACAACATTATAAAACCTTCACAGTATTTGTTACTGGTGAGTAGCTCCTGCCCCACTTTCCTAGAAGGCTCCCTGGAACCCTCCTGCTCCCTTCGTTCATCTGCCAGGGTAGAATCACCAGGCCCCCTGATCTGCATGTACAGTGAAGCAGGTAGCCTGCTGTTTTCAGGAGAGGTTCCCTCTGCCAGCTCTAGGTAGAAATGAAAGTTCTGGTCGGCCATCCAGGTCTAGGGAAACAATGGCCAGCCAAGGCAGTGGTCACCGATTGGAGCTCGGAATCAGGTAATTGCAGGAAACATCCCACACAGTAGCCAGGGGAGGCACAGGCTGCAGAGAGCACCTGGGAAGCCCAGGCTGGGTGTGCGGGCAGGCCTGCTGATGGATGTCAGGCCCTGGCTGGCCAGGAACCTCAGGGTGGCCAGGGTAGCTCTGCCCCATTAGCTGGGGTTCCCCTAGGGATGCTTTACTTAAAGAACCCAGAAAAGGTTTTCTTTCTTTCTTTCTCTCTGTCTCTCTGTCTGTCTCTCTCTCTTTTCTTTTCCCTCCCTCTCTCCCCCTTTCTTTATTTCCTTTTTTAGGTTCTTGCTATAGGATGTGTATACTCATTGGAGAGAGAGACAGAGATAGGGCAAGTGAGAAATCGTTTACCGCACCCCACCTGGGGGATGGCCATGTCACAATTCCTTCTCCTCCATTCTTCGCTTAGAATTTTGGGTATGCATGCACACATACAGTGTGAGTTTCAAGCCTCAGTGACCAGGACTCAAACTGCGTGGATCCAAGAAAGGTTTTCAAGGTGCAGAATCAGTCATCTGAACCTGCATGTAAAGCCTTTATTTAGACACTGGCCTGACGGGAGTGGGTCTGTCAATTATTTACCAAGTCGTTGCTATTTTTCTTTATATAGAAGGGATCATTTTTCTTAATCCCTAAAGAGGTGGTAACTTCATTTCTCTGTAAGATCCTTTTGTATTTCCATGATTTTTTTAAAAGAATTATTTATTATTTATTTATTTATTTTAATTTGACCAGAGAGGGACAGAGCGAGAGAGAGTGAGAGAGAGAGAGAGGGAGAAGGAAAGTGAGAAAGCAAGTTGCCAGGCCCAGGACTTGAACCGCGGTTGGCCATGTGGGAGTCCAGTGCCCTTAACAACAATAGTACCTGCCAGCCCCCATGGTTCTTATTTCATGAGACATAGGACGCTTTGAAGATTTGTATTTTTATGTCATTTAACATTTTTTGTAATTTCTATAATTATGTTGTTTGCTTGAAAAATATAGATGCAAATACAATAGAATTTACTAGATAAAAGACACGGTATTTATTAACTAGGAATGGAAACATTAAAGCATAAAATACAAAAGCAAAATCCTACTCTACTAAGAATGCCTGAGGTTTGCATCATCTTCCAGAGGTTGGCAAACAGGGAGTTCCACCCTGATGAGGTCAAGAGCAGGAATTAGAAGCCAGGTGGCCTGGATTTCCGTCCCAGCTTTGCCACCTATTGTGTGCTCTGGGCAGGTTACTTAACCGCTCTGTGCTTCAGTGATCTCATCTGAAAATGGGGATCATCCTAGTACCTACCTCAAAGGCTGTAAGGAGCAGCAGATGGTATGGTGGTTAAGGCACTATATTTCTACGTGACAGATCGTGGTTCGAGTCCCAGGTCTGGCAACTTGAAAATCACAACAAATACTGAGTTGTTGGAAAAGTCATGATGCATTTTTGCTTAGAAAAACAGAAAAATATGTCATGACTTTTCTGACGAGCCAATAAATAAATAAATAATAAATAATAAATAAAAATTTTTTTTTAAGATGTTGGGGACCAGCAGATGTTGTAGTGATTATGTCATGGGACTTCCACATTGCCGACCATGGTTTGAGCTCCTGACCCAGCAGCTTCAGATTCATACTGGGCACGTGTGCATGTGTGCCCAAAATCCTAAGAGGAGACCGGAGGAGAAGGGATTGTTGTGTGGCTATACCCCAGAGAGTGATTTTTCATGTTCTTTTTCTGTCTCTCCATCAAGGAATGTACATGCCCCATAGCAAAAATCTCTCTGGGAAAAAAACAAAAACAAAAACAGGGACCAGCAGTTAGCATAATGGCTATGTTGCTGAATTTCCATGTAGCCGACCACGGTTTGAATACTGAACCTGGTAGTTTAAACTCATGCCAGGTGCATGTGCATGCATGCCCAAGATCCCTAGAGGAGAAGGGATTGCGGCATGGCCATCCCCCCTGGGGGATGATTTCTCGCTTTCTGTCTCTCTGTCTCTCTCTGTCTTTCTGGCGAGCACACGCACCCTATAGCAAAAACCTCTCAAAAAACAAAACAAAACAAAACAAAACAAAAACAAATACAAAAAGCCAACCTGTAAAGATTAAGTAAGGTAATGTTGCAAAGCATTTTGAAGGGCATCTTGCACAGAGATAGTATGATACCAGCATTTGTTAAAGAAGTGTAGTGTGGTGGGTGGGTAGAACTGGGGAGAGGGGCCTTTGTCCCCAGCTCTGTCCTTGAGTCCTCCTGTGGCCTTAGCAAGTTCCTTGCTTCCATGTTGTCCCAGCTCCGATGTGCTGTGGTTCTGAGTCATGGTGAGGACGTTTGGCAGCTCACAGCACTTTCCACCAGTAGATTAAGGGGAAGCAGTGAGCCCAGGGCGCAGGGACAGGGCGAGAGCCAGGTCCCCCAGGCCCCCACGGGGCACGTACCTTTCTTCAGGCACTCTCCAAGGTCAGGGCATGAGTGTTCCCACCAAGGAAGAAAACCTGAGTGTATTTTGACTTTTCCTTCAAGGTAAAAATGTTATAAATTTTTTAATTAAAGAAATATTGGGAACCAGCAGTTAGTATAATGGCTATGTCGCTGGACTCCCACGTAGTTGACTGCGGTTCGCGTCCCGGACCCGGTGGCTTAAAACCCACGCCAGGCGCATGTGTGTGCATGCCCAAGATCCCGAGAGGAGAATGGAGGAGAAGGGATTGCGGCATGACCATCCCCCCTAGGGGGTGATTTCTCGCTTTCTGTCTCTCTGACTCTGTCTCTCTGGTGAATGTACACACCCTATAGCAAAAACCTCTCCAAAAAATAACAGTTAAATTAAATAAATAATTATTGGGAAAAAAAAGTCAGTCATATAGCCAACAGGGAATAACCACAACCAGTAAACAGGTTGGTATATACATGACATCTGTTTTGGAAAATGCTTGCCCTGCTATACCTCACTTTTAGGAGGTGTTATGGATGTAATATATGAAAATGGAACGTTCTGGAACTGCTGGTTAGGGGCCTATCACCCTGTGCACACTAAAAGGCCAGATTTTCAGCAGCCAAAGACATCCATACCCAAGTGAATGTCACGGGATTTTAAAGAAGTGAACTGAGACAATTCACTCTGGCTGTTTGAATAGCAGCGTTTCATAGGAAGATTAAAAAAAAAATAAAATAAAAAAAAGATCAATCCTGTATTTTCTGACAACCTAAGGGGCTTCTTCTCCCTGTAATAAAGTAGAAGAGCTCTCAGAGAAAGAAAGAAAAAAAGAAAGGAAGGAAGAAAGAAAGCCAGCCAGCCAGCCAGCCACGTCGCCAGCAGAGAGCAACCGCAACCAGTAAACAGCTAGTCAGCCACCCTCCTTCCTCACAATCCACTGGCCTTTACTCGTTTATGTATTTTTATTTTATATAGACATTGCTTTTCTAGATAAGCTTTATCTTCACAATGGTAACTTCTGAAAGAACAGACGTGACATGTAAAGCCACCAAAGCAACAAGGAAAAGGAGATAAAAATTTTCAGTAAGTCAATCAAATAACAGGCACAGAGACTGAGGAGATGTGATGAACAATACCATGCAGACTGGATCCTGGAACAGCACAGGGACATTAGCAGAAAAACGGGCGACATCCTAATAAAGTCTAGAGTTCAGTTTTGCAGGGTTTTTAGTAAAGCGTGTGATAATATTTCTTTTTTTCTTTTTTTTTTTTTTTGAGAGATTTTTCATGGCCAAACACAATTTGAGTCCCAGATCTGGTGGCTTGCTCTCTCACTTTTCCTTTCTCTCTCTGACCCTCTCTGGTCAAATTAAAAAATAATAATAAAAAAATTAAATTTAAATAGGGACCAGCAGTTAGCGTAATGGCTATGTCGCTGGACTCCCATGTAGACGACTGTGGTTCTCGTCCCGGACTCGGTGGCTTAAACTCACACTGGGCACGTGTACGTGCGTGCCCAAGATCCCGAGAGGAAAATGGAGGAGAAGGGATTGCGGCGTGGCCATCCCCCCTGGGGGGTGATTTCTCGCTTTCTGCCTTTCTGTCTCTCTCTGTCTGGCAAGTGCACATGCCCTATAGCAAAAAACTTCTCCAAAAAACCCAAAAACAAAAACAAACAAAATTTTAAAAATCCCCCAAAACCTAGCAGTCCCAGCCCTTCCATTCCTACCTGAGTCCTGGTCTGACATGTGGTCATCTTAAATTCTTACACCTACTGGATGTGATTTTTAGAAACTCCAGTCTTTGCTCTGGTTTGAGGACCTGGTTTTAACTGGAACAGTGTGTGATAGCCAAGAGGGCAGGGAGTCTCTGATCCATTCTAGGGGGAGCTGGCCAGCGCAGCTCACAGACATCAAACAGAAGGCTGTGAGCTTCCGTTCCATGTCCTCAGCTATACGTATGTGTCCTGTAATATCCTCTCCTGGGCAAGTAGGACGTGGGGAGCCAGCAGAGTCTGGAGTCAGTGGAGTGCCTCTGGAAATGCAGACGGGGCGAAGTTCTGGCCCAAAGGCTTCTCAAGGGGGAATGGCTGGGCTGCACTGGCCAGTTGGGTTTGGGAAAGTTCCTGGGGTTTTGTTTCTAGCCTTGTTGTCACTTCCTCCTTCTGAAGTAGCTTGGGCATCCAGGGCTCAGGTTCTTACGGCTTCTTCTCATCAACATCTCTCTCTGCAGATTTCCAGCTGCAGTGTCTTTGTCTCTGCTCTGAGAAGCCAGTTTCGCCCTGTACCTGCTGCCTGTCGTCCATAGGTGTCAAAACCTCTTATTCTTTGCTGTTTTCTTCCTTATGCTTTTGATCTTTGTTGACTTTTATCATTTTTTGTTTGCTTTGTTTTTTATTGATTTTAATTTACTGCTATTTTAGTGGAATTTCTTTCTTCTTTTATTAATTGCCAGAGGGCATGTGAGGTGAGCTTGTGTGTGTGTGTGTGTGTGTGTGTGTGTGTGTGAGAGAGAGAGAGAGAGAGAGAGAGAGAGAGAAAGCACATTCCAAGGGGGCATGATCACACTGTAATCTCTTCTTCATTTCTCCATCCTGTCAAGAATTTGGGCATGCACCCATGCCTGGCGTGTTTTTCAAGCCCCTGGAGCCAGGGTTTGAATAGTGGTTGGTCATGTGTAATGTGGCTCTCTCTCTTTTTGTTTCTAGAGAGATTTTTGCTATAGGGCCTGTTTCTCCAGAGAAATAGAGAGAGAGACAAAGAGACAGAAAGCAAGAAATCACCCCCCTGCTGGGGGGGGGAGGAATAGACACGCCATAATCCCTTCTCCTCTAGGGATTTTGGGTATGCACACATGCCCGGTGTGAGTTTCAAGCTGCCATGTTTGAGACTTGAACCATGGTCGACTATGTGGGAGTCCTGCAATATAACCATTATGTCATCTTCTGGTCTCAAGTTTGGTGTGATTTCTTTTTTATTTTTTAAGAGATTTTTGCTATAAGTTGCATGTGCTTGCCAGAGAGACGGAGAGAGACAGAGGGGGAGAAAGCGAGAAATCAGTCCTCGGGGGGATGGCCATGCCAGTCTCTTCTGCTCTACTCTCCTCTTGGGATTTTGGGCACACACACATACACACACACGTGTGCCCAGTGTATTTTTTTAAGCTGCTGGGCCTGGGACTTGAACTGTGGTCAACCACGTGGGAGTAGCAAAATAACCATTATACCATCTGCTGGTCCTGCAATGTGGCTCTCGTAACTCTCAGACTTAGTGGACTTTGTGTAGGGGAAGGAGACACATATTCATTTTGCCGTCTTTAACCAGGAGTCTGATCAAATTTTGACTAGTTGCCCACGACATTGAGATGATTTCTCCTCTCTGTAATTCCTGAATGTGGATCATTGACTTTGTATAAATTAAATGTATTGATGCTGAGACTGCTGCGGCTCTCCAGATTAGTGTTTCTTAGCACTGGAAATATTTATGAAGTTTTAAGTAATGGTCACGTAGGCCCACGCCCATGCCCAGATTTTTTTGGCCTGGGGATGGAATGGGACCCGAGGAGAGCATTTTATAAACCTCTCAGGTGACTCTGATGACAGGGAATGTCCACAAGCATTGTTCCAGAACTTACTTCTCAGAGTGTGGTCCATGGGCTGGCAGCACTGGCCTGGGGAGCTTTTAATAAAAGCAGAATCAGGGCCTCTGAAGCTGCGCTCTAACAAAAGCCATAAGGGATTCATTTGCACCTTCAGGTCTGAGAAGCTCCAGTCTGGGCTGGTGCCTTTCTGCTGGGCTGCCGTCAGAACCACCTGGGGAGTGTTCACACATTCCAGCACTCAGGGCGCAGCCCAGAAGATGAATTCGGAATGGCCCCCATGGGACCCTGCAGCACCCTGGAAGCTCTGGTGGTTCCAGTGTGCCCACGCGTGGAGAGTCCTCACTGTGAGCACTCTTTTCCCATCAGGGCCAGGTTTGCTTTCCCTCGGTTAATGGCAAACTGGGTTCCAAGGTCAAAGTATATTGAACTCAAGGCTTCCTTTTTTATTTGTTTTTTTTTTTTTTTTTTTTTTTTTCAACACTACAGAGCTAACAGAGGAAAATCTGACTGGAACTCTGGCTTGACATCAACAAGCTGTAGGAGGGGCACCAGCAGTTAGCGTAATGGCTGTGTCGCTGGACTCCCATGTAGTCGACCGTGGTTCACGTCCCAGACCCAGTGGCTTAAAACTCACACTGGGCGCGTGTGCATGCGTGCCCAAGATCCCGAGAGGAGAATGGAGGAGAAGGGATTGCGGTGTGGCCATCCCCCCTGGGGGTGATTTCTCACTTTCTGTCTCTCCGTCTGTCTGGCGAGCGCATGTGCCCTGTAGCAATAGGATGGCCAACATGTCATTTCTCCTTGGGCCTCAGGTGCCCTGTGGGTGTAATGAGAATGGCCTAGACTGTGATCAGCCTGGGATCCTGAACTAACTTTCTTTTTCTTTCTCTCTGTCTCTTTCTTCCTTCTCTTCCTTCCCTTTCTTCCCTTACTTCCTTCCTTTCTCTTCCTCTTTCTTTCTTCTTTCTTTCTCTCTCTTCCCTCCCTCCCTCTTTCTCTTTTTCCTTTTCTTTTTTTTCTTCCTCCCCCCTCTTTCTTTCTATTCTTTCTCTCTTTCTCTCTCCTCCCTCCTTTCTTTTTCTTTTTCTTTTTCTTTCTTCCTCCTTCCCTCCCTCCTTTCCTTTCCTTTCCTTTCCTTTCCTTTCCTTTCCTCTTGTCTCCTCCTCTCCTGTTCTCTTTCTTTCTTTCTTTCTTTCTTTCTTTCCTCTTCCTTTCTCTTTCTTTTCTAAGGTTTTTGTCATAGGACATGTATGTTTGCCAAAGAGACAGAGAGTGACAGTGAGAAAGAAAGTGAGAAATCATCCCTCGAGGGGGTGGCCATGCTGCATTCCCTTCTCTGTTCTCCTGGGATTTCATGCACGTGGCACAAAATGTGACTTTCAGGCCTCTAGGTCTGGGACTCAAGCCGCGTTCCATGTGGCAGTCCAGCACTTTAACCACTGCACCACTTGCTGGCCCCAGGATCTTGAACTTTCTATGCTGCTGCTAATGACTCTAAAGTGGCTGTGATGATACGTACTGATCAGAGTGTGCATTTGGGCCTTTCGGGACCCCAGGCCTCATAGTGAGGAATAGTTAGGAAGCACGGATTAGGAACAGGGTCATGGCAATTTCCGGAAGCAGTCCCCCTGGAATCCGTGCTGGAGTCGGCAGTGAGATAACTTGCTGGGAACTGGAGCAGAGAATAGCTAGCCAGTCCATGAGCCCAGAAGCTTCCAGCCGCTGTAAGGAGAAGCAGCAGGTAGCCCTGTCCTTGCCCTGTGGGAATTCCATACTGCGTGGTGGGGATGCAGGCGCTCACACAGATCTTCTCTTTCTGGCAGGCCTGGAGACTGAAGAATCCATTGTGTATTCCCGCGTGATTCAAGCAGCTGCACAGCAGAGAGATACTTGCCTAACCATCAGGCCCACAGTGTTGGGGGAGAGGCACCTGCCGGACCAGCTGGCCTCAGTGACCAGAATCTCCTCCTCTGACCTCTCCCTGGGGCACGTGACCCGGGCCCTGTGTCGCGGCATCGTTCAGAACCTGCACTCAATGCTTCCGTGTCAGCAGCTCAAGGAGTGGGGCGTGGAGCGGCTGGTGGGGAGTGGGAGCGCGCTGTCCAGGAACGAGGTGCTGAAGCAGGAGGTGCAGAGGGCGTTCCCCTTGCCAGTGTCCTTTGGGCAGGATGTGGATGCAGCTGTAGGGGCAGCTCTGGTCATGCTCCAGAGAAACCACAACCAGAAAGAGTCTTAGCAAACCCTTTGGCTAAAGAACTGCTGTGGATTTTACCAATGACCATTCCTGAGCTCTGGGTGATCATTTTCCTGGACTGTTTTGGGGTCAGCTTGTAAGCAATGCTTGCTCTCAGAGCAGCACCTTGACCAAGAATTTACTGCTGCGCTTGGAATATCTCCTCCAAAACTCATGTAGGAATTGGATTGTTGTTGTGATGGTATTACAAAGTGAGACCTTTTTTTTTTTTTAGAGGTTTTTGCTATAGGGCACATGTGCTCGCCAGAAAGTCAGAGCGAGACAGAGAGACAGAAAGACAGAAAGTGAGAAATCACCCCTGGGGGGATGGCCATGCCGCAATCCCTTCTCCATTCTCCTCTTGGGATCTTGGGCACGCATGTACACGTGCCCGGTGTGAGTTTAAGACACTGGGTCCGGGACTCGAACTGCAGTCAACTACATGGGAGTTCAGCGACATAGCCATTACACTAACTGCTGGTCCCTACAAAGTGAGACCTTTAAGAGGTAATTAGACCATGAGGGCTCCACCCACATGAATAGATTCGTGCCACTATGTCTGAAGCAGGTTAGTTGTGAGAGTGATAGGAAAGGAGTTTGGCCTTCATCCTCTGTTGCTCTCTCATGCACTTTCTTGTCCTTCTGCCTTTGCCATAACCTCATCAGATGCCAGTGCCATGCTCCTGAACTTCCCAGCCTCCAGAATCATGAGCTGAATAAATTTATCTCATTTATAAAGTACCAGTCCCAGGTATGGTCCTCTTGGATTTTGGGCATGCACACACCCGTACCTGGTGTGAGTTTTAAGCCACCAGGTCTGGGACTCCTACTATGGATGACCTGTGAGAGTCCAATGCTTTAACCACTGCATCACCTGCTGGCCCCCCAGTGCCTTCTGAAAGAAGCAATTTAATCAGCGAGAACCCCTTCTCCTGCATGCCTCAGCTCTTCTTTTGCTTGGTGCGAACTTTGTTGGCCTGTTTGTGCTTCTGGCTCAGCAGGTACTGACCACTGAGTCAGCCTCCTGTAGGGATCTCAGAGCATCTTTAGCATCTTTTTTTTTTTGGAGAGGTTTTTGCCATAGGGCGCATGCACTCTCCAGACAGACAAAGAGAGACATAGAGACAGAAAGCGAGAAATCACCCCCCAAGGGGGATGGTCACGCCACAATCCCTTCTCCGTTCTCCTGTCAGGATCTTGGGCACGCACGCACATGTGCCTGGCGTGAGTTCTAAGCCACTGGGTCCAGGACGTGAACCGCGGTCAACTACGTGGGAGTCCAGCGACATAGCCATTACGCTAACTGCTGGTTCCCCCCCCCCATTTTTTTAAAGAGAGATTGTTTTGGTGTAGGATGTTTGTGCTCGCCAGAGAGACAGAAAGCAAGAAATCACCTCCCAGGGGGGATGTCCATGTTGTAATCCCTTTTCCTCCATTCTCCTCTTGGGATCTTGGGCACGCACGCACACGCACCTGGAGTGAGGTTTAAGCCACAGAGTCCACAACTCAAACTGCAGTCGACTACATGGGAGTCCAGTGATGTAACCATTATGCCATCTCTTGGGATCTCAGAGCATCTTAAGCCTCCCCTTGTGAGTGGGAGGGATGACTGTGGAATGGCCATCATTGCTGCATCTCCTCCCAGAGTCCCAAAGGAACCTGTTCAGGCAGGCTTGACTCCGAGGCACCCATGAGTTTGGGAAGCATTCATGTTGTCTCTCTCTCTCTTTTCCCCCTAATTTTGGTACAGGGTGCATGTGCTCTCTAGAGAGAGAGACAGAGACGGACACAGAGAGATATATAGAGAGGGAAAGTGAGAAATCACCCTCTGTGGGGGGATGGCCACACTGGAATCCCTTCTCCTCCATTCTCTTCTTGGAATTTTTGGCACACATGCACAGATGCTGGGCATGCTTTTTAAGCTGCCAGGTCCAGAACTCAAACCGCACAGTCAGCCATGTGGGATCCTGCTGCTTCAACATCCGCAGCACCTGCTGACCCATATTGTCTCTTTGTAAGGTCAATTTGCAAACTGTGTGATTGTCTGAAGCTTTTGTTGGGTTGTCAGGAAAGTCATGATGCATTTTTGCATAGAAAAACATAGAAAATACATCATGACTTTTCCAACAACCCAACAGATGAACTTGCTGCGCTGTCCTGATTGAATTTCCGATCCTAAAGCTCATCCTTTTAGGGCCTTGACCTACCCCCCCCCCATTTTTTTAAAGAGAGATTGTTTTGGTGTAGGATGTTTGTGCTCGCCAGAGAGACAGAAAGCAAGAAATCACCTCCCAGGGGGGATGGCCATGTTGTAATCCCTTTTCCTCCATTCTCCTCTTGGGATCTTGGGCACGCACGCACACGCACCTGGAGTGAGGTTTAAGCCGCCGAGTCCACAACTCAAACTGCAGTCGACTACATGGGAGTCCAGTGATGTAACCATTATGCCATCTCTTGGGATCTCAGAGCATCTTAAGCCTCCCCTTGTGAGTGGGAGGGATGACTGTGGAATGGCCATCATTGCTGCATCTCCTCCCAGAGTCCCAAAGGAACCTGTTCAGGCAGGCTTGACTCCGAGGCACCCATGAGTTTGGGAAGCATTCATGTTGTCTCTCTCTCTCTTTTCCCCCTAATTTTGGTACAGGGTGCATGTGCTCTCTAGAGAGAGAGACAGAGACGGACACAGAGAGATATATAGAGAGGGAAAGTGAGAAATCACCCTCTGTGGGGGGATGGCCACACTGGAATCCCTTCTCCTCCATTCTCTTCTTGGAATTTTTGGCACACATGCACAGATGCTGGGCATGCTTTTTAAGCTGCCAGGTCCAGAACTCAAACCGCACAGTCAGCCATGTGGGATCCTGCTGCTTCAACATCCGCAGCACCTGCTGACCCATATTGTCTCTTTGTAAGGTCAATTTGCAAACTGTGTGATTGTCTGAAGCTTTTGTTGGGTTGTCAGGAAAGTCATGATGCATTTTTGCATAGAAAAACATAGAAAATACATCATGACTTTTCCAACAACCCAACAGATGAACTTGCTGCGCTGTCCTGATTGAATTTCCGATCCTAAAGCTCATCCTTTTAGGGCCTTGACCTATTAATAAAACACATACCTCTCTGCTTTAGGAAGACTATAATTAAGGCACACCCTCAGCGCTAGGTTTGGGAGGTTGAAGATAGCCTTGGGGGGTCATTTGTAGGTTGGGGGAAAGCCTTGCCCCAGTGTTCTAGGACAAGCAGTTGCATATAGCTCAGGAAGGGTGTATAATTTCCCTCTCCGCCAGAATGAGTGAAGATGGCCTCACACCGGAACCCCTGAGACAGAAGGCTGGGCTGAAGGAGAGCAGAGTCCTATCTGCCAGGAGAGCTGGGTCCTCTGATCTCCAGGAGGCAGCCCGCCCTGCCTGTTCTGGGTGCAGTGGATAGATGGGGAAATACTGGATTAGGAACCGGATGGGTGTCCTGCGGGCCCAGGCGAGCCAGCCTGTGCCCAGCGCTCTCCTAGAGTGTCTTCGCTTTACTTCTGAGGGCTAAGCCTCAGAGGATCCAAGCTCGTGGATGGACAGTCCTGCTGCTGCATCTGCTTTGCGTGCCTGGACCCTCTTTGGGGCTGGGGATGTTGAATACAGTTGCCAAGGCTTCCTCTCTTCAGCCTGAAGTCACCAACCCCTCACCGTTTCTGCACTCATTTCTGGGAAGTACCAGTCGGTGTGTGAAACCAGCCCACTCCTAGAATGATGAAGTAGGCAGCCGTGCTGGCAGTTGGGGCTCTGCACCCCAATATCTTGATCTGACAAGCACATGATAGGATTGCACTTACCCGCCTACCTTGCTGCAGCCCGTGAAATGTGAACAGAAGCGTGTCATTTGGTGCAGGAGTCTGTAGGAACTGGAGTGCTATTTCTACACTTTTCCTGGGCCACAAGTGACCGATGGCATTCCAGAGGGTGGAGGTCCCCGAGTAAGGACAATGTGATGGCGAGCCCTTGCCACCTGCCCTCTGTTGTTGAATTTCCATCACTAGAATGACAGTTACCCACGTGCCCGGAGGAAGAGCAGCTCATTCTTCTTGCAGGTGAGCCTCAGAAGTGCCCATCTGCTGACGCCAAGTACAGCTAACGTTTTCTGAGTATCTGCCTTCCTACCGTGAGCTGGTCTCAACCCGACTCCTTTGAACTCATTTGATCTTTCTAATGCTCTAGATGGTGGGTACTGTAATCCCCATCTCAAAGGTGGAGAAACTGATACACAAAAGTTAAGTAATTTCCCTGAGGTCACGATGCAAGGGTTTGGATGGCAGAACCTGCCCTCTTTAGCACTCTAGGCAGAGGGGTCAAGTGAAGGGGACATATTTATATTGATGCCACTTTGTCCATGGTGTGACAAAGCGCCTGATGTAACTTGGTCGTGGGCAAATGAAAGGATGCCGTAGGGATTGTGGCCAGGAGTGTGGGCCAGACAGGGAAGGGTCTCGAACGCCAGGCCGAGGGGTTTGGAGGACTGAGGCATCATGGGCTCTGAAGGAGCAGAGGGGACGCCGGACTGGAGGAGGAGTGTTACAGAGGAGGCTCTAAAATGGCCTGGAGAGAGGTGGTGGGGCCTGACCAGCACAGAGAAGTGAGCCAGAGCCCTCCTGCCCCCCGGCTTCCTCCCCTTCCTGCTGCCACACACACTGTGCCACGGCCCTGGACTACAGCCATGTTGCTTCTGAGGCTTTCATGTACTTGATTTTCCTTCTCTTAAATGGACTGTAAGCTCCTTGAGGGCAGAGTCCCTGGTCTCTGCCCTGCCCTCCTGCATCTTCACTTTGGCTGAAACCTATGTTTGGAATGTCCTCCTCCTTGCAGGCTATGTATTTTTTAATTTTTAAAATTATTAATTTTATTTAATTATTTAATTATTTAATTATTGGTCCAGAGAAAGACACACATACACACACACACACACACACACCCACACACACAGAGAGAGAGAGAGAGAGAGAGAGAGAGAGAGAGAGAAAGGGAGAGTGAGAAAGCAAACTTCCAGGTCCGGAGTTTGAACCATGGTCAGCCATTTGGGAGTCCAGTGCTTAACCACCACACTACCTGCTGGCCCCAGAATCCTACATCTTGTTCATGCCCTAGCCCATATGCCATCCAACTGCCACAAGGATTGTCCCTGGTGCCACACCTGCCAGAGGATTACAATTGCAGCTGGAAC